GTTTTGGGGAGCGGGACCGGCGATGCTGCGCGCCGTGACAGCACGAAGCGGCTCCTCTCCGCGCACCGGGGACATGCGCGGCGCCGGGGATGCGCACGGCGGAGGGGCCGCGGGGGCTGAGCTCCACGGTCACCCCCGAGTCCCCCCCAGCCCTACCTCCGCACGGAGCTGACGGTGCTTTTGGTCCTGGCCGCTTCGCCCCGGGATGCTCCACGGGGGTTTGGAGAGATGGTACCCAAAACTCGCCCGCCCGGCTGTCACGTCGGCAGATCCTCGCTCGTGAGCATCGCAAACTTGTGCTGCTCTACTTTGCACAATTTTGGTGAAAAATAAGGTGTGTGGGGGAGACAAGACCAATGGGGACTGCTGGCCTTTTGTGGGTCTCATGCTGGCAAGTTTGCTGCCCGCTGTAATGCGGTGGCGTGGTGAGATTTTTGACATCAAACTGCTGCATGTCTGCAGTCAAACTTTGGTCCTTCCTTACGGTATTTAATTTTAAGTGTGGCACAGAGGTCTCTTCATGTCTGTGTTACCTTCTGGCTGCCGGCGCTTTGTGTTTGGGGCTGATTTATTGGCCTCTGGAAGCTGTGATTTGGCGGCTGCATGAGGGTATTGTGGGCTTTGCCGGCACCTTGGGGCGACGCAGATAACGCTGCCGGCACCCTCGTACCGCCAGCCTTAACTAATTCTGTTGAGGTGCTTTAAAGCAATCTCAGGTGGGATGTGGCCATGCTCGGAAGGGGTGGGTTTGGGTTTTAGTCCCACTGATGGGGCGGTGGGGGCTTTGCTGGGAACAGGACTCTGATGCTGGACTCTTGGGAGTTTCCCTTTCCCTCCCCACATCTGGCTGGGGGATGTCTATTCCAACTCAAGTCACCCTGCATGCAAGGGAGACGTTTACCACATATCGCAGGAGTCACTGCGGATCCCGCCCTCCCATAGCATCCCTTTGCCTGCCAGAGGACCCCAGGTATGGGGCTGAGCTTCACGTGCGAGCTCTGATGATGCCGGGCTGCGACCTGTCAGGGTAATAAAGATGAAACCCAGTGTGTGCCTGGATGTGCCCAACGTGAAGATGCCTGGAAAGGCAGCGCGGGAACCTGGGACATCTTCTGACCCACAGGCACTGCTCTGGGAGGCACTTGCACTCTGATTTTAAAAACTAAAGTCAGTTTCCCACCAACTCTTAGTTTTCTTTATCCCTCACAAACTTCTTAAATGCTGTTAATCTTAACCGTTGTCTTCCTGTGCTAAACCGTGCAAAAACCCCAAAGCTGTTCCGTCTGTTGGATCTCTTTATCTTCAGGAAACATGAAATCGCACGTGCCTGTTTCTGGGATGGGATTTTATCAAGAAACAAAGCCAGGAGAAGCACCTTGCCTTGGAGACATGGCACGTATGATTTATCTCTAAACACTTTCTGTAGCCTCTCTCTAAACCCAGGGAAGAACAAAACATGGATGAGCTATTAAGATGGCAGACGTTAAAAGGAAGCCAAATCAGGCAGAAAAGTGCTGTTCTTTCGGCAGGGTGATCTGTGGCGGAGCTGTGTGTGGGTTTTAACCTCCTCACCGCGAGCCCCTGGCCGGCGGCTCTGCGGGCTGCTCATGGTGCGGGGCTGTGGTGGGACATGGAGAGGAGCCGGCATCACCTTTGTCCTGTCCCCTCCGGCGCTGGGGCTGCCTTTGTCTGCTGCTCCGGCTCTGCATGGCCCTGGCTGCTGCCTGGACGGTCTGCGGGAGCGGCGTGAGACCCTGCGGGGTAGGCAGGAGGGGTCACAGCCTTTGGCCGGTCCAGATACCGTTAGCGGGGGACGCCAGGCTCACAGTGTGGGGTCACACAGTCCGGATGAGCCGCCCAGTGTGTTCGGCAGAGGTGGTGTTGCTTCTCACACCCCATCAGAGGGACCGAAAAGGAGGACACAGCGCAGCTGGGCAGCCAGGGCTGGCTCAGCAAGACCCTTGTGAGTTGGCTCATGCCACCGTGGGTCGAGCTATGTCCGCTCCGCTGGCATCACCGTGCCGCTCTCCATGGAGCCAAAGCAGCTGGTTTGCAATCCCTGTGAATGGGTGCAATGAAGGTGGTGGTGCTTTTGCTGCCGTTTGTTGTGCATCCACAGGTTTGGTCTCTGGCCTGGCCCGAACCGTGGGACTGCGCACACAGGGATGTGGGGGCACCAGCCTTGGCTGCAGCAGGGCAGGTTTTCACTTGACACTTTCAAGTTGATTGCCTACGATTTCCAAGCAGAAAGCTGAGCTTTGACATGGTGCAACGATGCCCGTTGCAGCACTTGGTGCTCAATGTCGAGGATACAAGAACTAAACTGCTCTCAGAAGTAAAAACCACAGTAAAACAGATTAGAGCCCGTTTTGGCACATTTCTTGGACTCAGCCACCACAGCGTGGGGCAGGAACAGCGCTTGGGCAGCTCAGACTTTCCCTCAGAAGATGGGCTCTGGTGCACGGGACGGGTTTAACGCTGTGTGTCGATGGCTGCAGCCAGAGCCCTCTGCCCCACGTGGGTGTGATCTACTTAAACTCAGTTTAGCATCGAACCGAAAAGTGCCTGTGGCTGCCTGAACCTGGTTGTGCTCACGGTGCCTCAGGAAGGAGCAGGCACGGGTGCAGTGTTTGGGTTGGCAGAGGTGAGATGGTGCTTTTTGAAGTCTGGGCTTTATGGGACAGAGTCAGTCGCTGCTTAGGGCCGGTGGTTTCGAAGATGGTAAATCTGGAGATTGGGAAAGCCAGTTTTGCTCTACCTGCCAGCAGTTTCCTTTCCTGCTGGTGCTGCCGCTTGCTTTGCCTCCCAGTGGGGGGGGGTGTCACTTATCTGCGTTTTTTCTGGGGCTGGTTTAGGGCGGGAGATGGCTCAGGGTGAGGATGAACCATGCCGTGTGTCCGGCGGTATTTGGCATGCCGCGGCCCCGCTTGCTTCTCTCTGATTCCTGGCTGTGTTTTGGCAGGGTGGGCTGTGTGGGGAGGGGGCTGTCGGACCCGCCGCCGCCGCAATAAAACTCCCTTTTGTCTCGCCCCTATTCCCGCGGCCCCTCGGCTGAATGTGGTGCTGGAGAGGAATTAAATGACATGGTAATTTCATGCCGTCCCACCGGCCGCTTTGCCCGGGTGCAGGCAGCTGTTGGGCAGTGGGTTGTATTCCCCAGCTGTTACAATAAATAATAGAAACAAAGCATATTCCAGTGCTAATTACTCTAAACGGACTTTCACCTTGGCGGTGCTGCCCTCACCGCTGTCTCTGCCCGCCAGTGCTTCACACGCACCCAGCAAAGGGGCAGCAGTGGCAGTGATGATGCTCCTGCCGGCGGCGTCCCCAGGGCACGGCTTTTGTGTGCGAAAGTCTGTGATTTCTCCCGGGCTGCTGAATTTATAAT